CCTGTCTCTTATACACATCTAGATGTGTATAAGAGACAGCCTTCCTACCGCCTCCTCTGGTGAAGACAGCCGCGGCCGCTTTTCCAACTTAACTGATGCCGTCACCGAACCAACTGGCCTCGTAGCGGCACGAGCCACTCCACTGCCTCGATCGTCTGCACGTATGCCCACTGCCGCATAACGTTTCTTCCCTGACTGGCTGATAGAAAGAGGCGGAGGACGAGGAGAAGCAGGTGGAGGTGGAGGTGGAGGTGGAGGTGGTCGCATCGTCATCCGATCACCCTCCTCGTTCCCGTTTTCTACACTTTCCTGTTTGACTTTCTTCAATAGAGGCGGAGGCGAAGAGGGATTAGGAGAACAACGGTCCGGCCGCACCGTCGTGGAAACGTTCACAGTTGAGGACGCCAAAGAAGTCAGTCTACCCGATGACAACGAAGGCGACACAATTGGCGCAGGGGGTGGCACAGGAGTTGCCGCCCCGCCAGGCCGCGTAGTACTCTTGCCATCAGCCGATGAGGCCGCCCTACTACTGCTCCCCATCATCATCATCATCCTCGCATGCGCTGAGCAGAATCTAGCGTCTTCGGGGGGATTGATCAAAACGGGGGTTGTGCATCTCGCCCCTGTTGCAGGGAAAACGTAGTCACACTGGCGATAAGGAGCCGACGGATCTTCCAGAATATGACGAAAGCAGAGTTTAAAGGTCCTGAAAGGAGTCGACATGCAAAGAACCTTCTTGGACTCGCATCTCGCGATAGGAGGCAGCGGCGGCGGCGGCGGCGCAATGACGGCAGATGTCCTCTCGTTCCCGGTTTCATTTCCACCGCCGCTATCGCGCAGAGCCGCAGCTCGAGTTCTCGCCACTTTCATTCCCCCTTTCTTCCCTGCTGCTGCCCCTAAAGCTTGCCCAGACACGCCCTTCTTTTCTTCGTTGCGATGGCACCATTTGGAAGCAGAAGCCGAAACCGTCCCCACTTGCGCGCTTGGGCCCTTGCTACCCTTCACTCCCCCATGTGCGCGACTCGCTGTCACTGACCTGCCACTGCCGCTGCTCCCCCCCGCCCTCGTGGTTGTCGCGTTGGAACCCTTTGCAAATACCGCACGCTCTCCGATCCCTGCAGCCGAAAGAAAAGTCGCCCCTCCCCCCGCCCCTTTCCGATCTCTCTCCTGCCTTCTTCCAGAGCCCTCGCTAGGTCCTTCGCCACCACCATCATCACGTCCTCTGTACTTGTCGTCGTCGTTATCATCATCGACTCTTTCATCGTCATTAGCATTTTTATCGTCGGCGAAGTTGTCCTCATCGCGTTGGCCGCGCCTCCGCTTATATCTGCCACAGCCGTCATCTTCATCCGCGCTCCCATCGTCGACTCTGTCAACAAGCGGTCTCTTACATCGTGCCGCTCGCTCGGGCAGCTCTCTCGTCTTCCGACTATGTTGCTGACGAGAGCCGCCCAGCATATTCCCATCCTTGGGCAACTTGATGTTCTCCGTTTCCAGGTCGAGACGTCGCTTTGCAGAGTCAGACAGGGCGCTGGAATCTGGATGACCATTGGCGGCGACGCTGTCCTCCACTTCTCGCCTGCATGGCGCAGAGCCGCTCCCACTTTTCCTCCCCCCACCCCCCCCGCTTCTCGTGATACGTGTGTTGTCGTCCGCGGCGAGCGCCTGCAGTGCCTTCTTGGCCGGGGTCGAGGAGCTCGAAGTACTTTTACTTTTTTTTAATGAATTTCCACGGAGGATCTTCTGAGGCCTCGAATGCGGGGAACACGTCGCCCCTACATGGTCCTTGATGTCGACGGTAGCAGCAGCAGTAGCAGTGGCAGTATTTTTGATAACGGCGCAAGTCAACTCGTCCACCATTATCCCCAACGCCTCCTCTGAGTCCAAACAGGGAAGGCTTTTGGCAATTGCCACGTCGGTGAACACAGACGATTCACCAGGGCCTCCTCCGATTGGGCCGTGCGCGTCTGCTTCCGGGGAGAAGTCGTCCTTACTCAGATTTCGAGGCGTCGCCGAGGACCGCCAGTTCCGCTGCTTGTCATCTCCGCCAGTAAAAACATCATCATCGTCTTTGTTCTTTTCTTCTTCTTCTTCTTCTTCTTTGCCCTCTTCCGGTTTTTCGTGCGATGCTATTCCTTTCTCTTCTACCCCTCCAAACTCTTGTATCTCGTCTTCGTCCTCCTTCAGTATCTCTTCTCCATCCTTTCCTGTCTTTTCTCCTTTCTCTTGTTCTCTCTCTTTCTCTTTTCCTTCCTCCTCTTCCTTCCTTTCTTCCTCCTGTGCTTCCTTTGTTTCTTCCTCTTTTCCTTCCACCTCTTTTTCGTTCTCTTCGTCTACCTTCCTTTCTTCCTCTTTTGCTTCTTTTCTTTCTTCCACTTCTTTTTCTTCGTCCTCTTCTGCCTTTCTTTCTTGTCCTTTTTTCCCTTCCTCTCTTCCTTCCTCTTTATCTTCTTCCTGTCTCTCTTCCTCTTTGTCTTCTTCCTCTCTCTCTTCCTCTTTATCTTCTTCCTCTCTCTCGTCCTCTTTTCCTACTTCTTTTACTTCCTTGCTCACCTTTCCCGGACGTCGTCCATCTCCTCCCTTTTCCTTCTCTTCTTCCGTCCGCGGTTGCTGCCTCTCCCCCTCCTTCCCCTCGAGCTTAGCCTCCACTTGCACTCCCTGCGTTGTTGGCGGACGCGGGAGAGAGGAAGCCGGATGTTCCGGACCCCCGGTCGCTACCGACGATAAGGCGGTGGTTTTCGCCGGCTTCCCGCTTCCAGCGGCGGTCGACCCACATGTTCCTCCAGGTGATGCAAGAGGAGGGCTACTCCCAGCCGTCCCACGGCGACGATAGGTTACCGGGGGCGTAAGGAACGGAGGGTGTTGATGCTGCTGATTGGCATGGCTTCTGCCGCGGGCTGCCTCACTCGCATTGTCGCCTCCGCCGGCGGCGACGTCCTCGGCGTCTGCTGGGGAACAATCGTGGTGGGAACCTCCTCCTCCTCCTCCTCCATTGCCTCCATTGCCGACTTCTGCACGGACGCTCGTAGTCGGCGGCTCTCTGAAATCGATCTCCTCCGGAGGGGCACCAGCCTTGGAATTCCTGGACGGGATCTTGGAGCCGTCATCACAGGGAAGAGAAGCTTGTTGACGAGGGACACAAGCACCACCGGCTTCAGTCTGTGTGCCACCAAGAGGAGGAGAAGCGCTCGCAAGAGGAGGAGAGGTCGCTATCTGTTCCGTTTCAACGATTCCCGCTGACCCGTCGGCTCGCCGGGGCCGCAGGCGACGTCGCACCACTTCCAGTCTGGCTACCGGAAGCTCGGCTGCCGCCTCTACCTCCGGCCTGGGAGACTCTTCTACAACCGTAGAATGCCCAGACCTAGAGGAAATTCGCCTGCCTGTAGGCCGAAGCCGCGCCCTCCTGCCTGCCACATCTGTCGGCGATAACGACGCACCCTTGACACCTGCTAAAACCGCTAAGGGCGCAGTACCTGCCAAAACACCAACTTCCCTCCCCCTCTCTGTTCTCGAAACGTGCTCCTTTCTGATCCCCCCTGCACCAATCTTCACTTCACTCCCCACGACATTATTAATGACATTCCCGTCCATGCTTGCCGCGTCACGCCCGCGCGAACCCGGTTCCACGTCGCGGTCTCGTTGTGCACCAGCCGTACCACCGCTTTTTTCCTCGTCGCCATGATCGCTCCCCTCCACGCCCTGCGATGCCTTCTCCTTCCTCTTCCAAGGATGATCGTCCTCGCCCTGCACCTTCTTCACCCTCGCGTCCGCCATCCGGCCGCCGCTGAGGCTCGCCTCAGAAGATTCGCCAGCGTCGGTGTCGTCCCTCGCAGAAGCCGTTCGAAGCTTCGCGGACTCCACGAAATCCGGGCTCTGGCCATCATTCGACAGCTCATCCCTTCCCGCAGCAGCCGGCAAGCGGCTCCCTTGACCAAACACCCGTTTCTTCCGCTCACGGGCTAAGCCCGCGGGCGGCCCTTTACTAGCTCTCATCCCAGCGGAAGGCGAAGACAAGACAGGGGAGCAAGCAAAGGCGGCATCGGAATGGGGCGTTTCCTCTTCTTCTCTCGCTTCTGAATGATAATCACGACCGTGAGCCTCCTCACCCTCCTCGTCTTCGATGAGAGCACGTTCCTCTGCATCATCATCATCATCCCGACATGCTCCATCATCGCCGTCTGACCGCCCATCTATCGACTTTCGCGGCGACGAACGATGTTTAATTGTTCCCAATCCGTCACACGACATCTCTAGGCGGCGCGCGGGACTCCTCTTACGAAGGCGGCAATCCTTCTCGGAAGTCAATGATGGGCTCATACAATCACCCTTGCCTCCCTTCTTCCTTTTCGCAGTCCTGTTGACCTCTGAAGGACTCGCATCCCTGTTGACCTCTAATGGACTCGCAGCCCGTAACCCGCCTCTAACAACTTTTGCATCCGCTGTTCTTCGACTTGACGCCTGTCCTGCACGACGTCGCGGACTCTTTTCGATATCATGACGGCGTTTGATTTCCTCCTCCTCCCCCTCCCTCTCCTCCTTCCCCACGGCACCCGTTTCCTTGTCCCCCACTTCCTCCTTCCCCGCTTCCCCCTGATTCGCCTCCGCCTCCTCTTCCACCTCCTCCCCCTCCCTTTCCCCCTCTTCCGTCTGCTTCGCCTCCGCCTCTTCCTCCTCCGCCTCCTCCTCATCCTCCTCATCCTCATCCTCGTCCTTTGCCTCCTCATCCGATTCTTCAACCAGTAGAAGCCGTCTTCGTTGCCCTGCATCACCAAGCCGCGCGGGGAAAGCCTCTCTCCGCTTTTTCCCTGCGCGCTTGGTAACGGCCACAGCACAGCCGTCTGATGCCCCTCTCGCTCGCCCAGCGCGTGAGCCCACATCCGATTGGTCCATCAACCCTCCCCGATCATCCTCCCTTCCACGGATCGAACCCCTACAACGACCACCGCCATTACCACTACTAGCCCGTTTGTCCGCCGCGACGTGCGCCAGCGCGTTGGGCGCCTGCCAGGAGTGACTTGATGCGATGCCCTGATTGCGCAGCCGCACAGTCTGACGTGTAACGCGCTCGTTCCCTCCCGCCGCTCCAGCGCCCTCCACTGCCTCAACGCCACAATTCCTCCCGGCATCATCATCGGTACCCCGCTTCTTCATCCCTTTGCCGTGCCCCCTCACTCCATCACCCGTGGCTTCCAAACGCGTACTCTGGCGTGTTACTCGCTGAGTATTCGCCTCCGATACATCCTCTCTTCGGACATGATGCTTCTTCCCGCTATCCACGGCGGGCCCCTCCTCCTCGTCTGTCTCTCTACCATCTGCCCTCACACCTACTACTCCAACCCCGCCTGCGCGTTTGACATCGGCTGACTCCTGTCTTCCCCGTCCCCTGGCTTCCCGGACACTGTCGACAACCTTTTCGTCATTGGCGCCATTATTATTATTATTCCCGTCGTCGATCCCCTTCACGACGAGTCTGCTCTTCTTGTTCGTTGTCAACTCAGCACCCTTTCCCCCTCCCTTCCTCTTCCAATTCAACTTCCCCATACGTGTCCTATCCTTTGTGTATATGTGGCAACGGCCCGCTTTCCTTCGGGTCAACCTTGCAGTCGTCACAGCGGTCTTACCTCTTTCTTAGCCGCTAGTTCCGGTCTCCCGCCCTCGATTCGATACATCCCTCCAATCATCCGTGACTACCACTACCGGTCGCCTCATCAAACAATTGAGCAATCAATCCCCTCCTCGATACATCACCCCCGCTCAACCTGCCAAACAGACAATCACTCAAACAACAATTTATGCAAGGGGCTGCTTTCTTCATCCTTTTCCCAGCGCTTTCGCCTTCATCCTCGCCTTCGCGTTCTCTCTTTCCTGCATCACCATCACTGTCACTTCGTGCCATTTCCGTTCCCGTGTCATCATCCCGCTCCGATGATTGGGTCCCATACAATCTCACCACGAACAACCACCCAACGTTGGTCACGAACCGGGAGGCGCTAAGAATTGCCAACTCCTTGCGGGGCCGGGCATGCTCTAACCAACTTCGGACTGGCTACAGCCACCTCGATTACCAGCCATGTAATCTCGAATGGCCCGCTCCAACAGCCCTGTCGTCCCATGAAAAAGTCGAAAATGACATGGGCGGTGCTCTATCAGGGGTAGCTGAGCAGGCAACCGCCACTTGTAAAGACAGCAACCAAAAGGACACTCAAAAANGACCTTCCCAATCGTCCTCTCCCCGGTCCTAGACAACCTTCGGCTTCTCGTTGGGTGTCCCTAGTCCTGGCCAAAACTAGGGACGCGGGCCTTAACCGAGATCTTTGAAGGCACTCGCGCCTTCCTTCTCAAAAAAAATCTCTTGCAATCAAATACACATGAGTATATATGTGTTAGATGTGTATAAGAGACAGCTGCTAGATTGCCTGAAACGTACCAGTTCGGTTCTCCAATAGCGGTAATTATTTCCATTTCCATTTGTCTATTTATATGTGTCAACCTTGCGCAGGGGCCATGCTAATCTTCGCTCCAATTTGAAGTTATATATGTCCCCAAGGACCGGTAACCACCTCTCGGAAGCTACCATAGGGAAAGTGTGTTCCGGGTCAAAGAAGGTGACCGCTGAGAAGTTTCGCTGACTGGATCTTTCTAATTGTCTGCCGCAGGGGGGCTGGAAACGCAGCCCTAAGGCCTCTGTTTCTTCTTCGTCTGCTTCTCCCCTTCCACGGCAGCCTTAGGGCTGCGAACACAGACATGGGAACCCCCTATACCATAGCCTTAGGGCTGTGAATTCAGAGCCTGGCCAAGTGATCCGAAACATTGGGGGTATATGGGTAGCAGCGGGGAGAAAATTTCGTTCTAACCTTTTTTACCTCTGCCAGTGTTGAGAAATTACGATGTACTGGTCTGTCCCCGAAGTTATCGGGGATCCGAGCACGGTCGGCAAGTATTCCCAACAGGGGGGAAAAAAAAAAAAAAAGTAGTTTTTTTTTTTCTTTTCGCGGCGGTTTTTGGAGAGGTTTGGACCCGTGTTCGTTCCGCGACGGTGGCCGTGTAGTGGAAACGCTACCGGGTCCTGTCCGGGAGGCTCACGGGGTCGCAGGTCGGTCGGTCCCCAGTGGGCAGTCGTCCGTTCAACCCGCGAATCTGCACGACCGTTTTTGGGGGCGACTGACGCCAACTTCTGTGGTCTCCGTCTAGGCCTCTCGTCCGGCCGCCATCGCTC